ATAGATGTATGACAGCCCTCAACGGACTCAATACTTGTAGGAGATGGAGTAGAACTGCCTACTTGACCTTTCTGGGCACCAAAATATCAACTGAGGCATCTAGGACTGTATTTATAAGCTCAGCTTAAAAAACTGAGTCTTGTGCAATAAACACAGATTTTTAAAAGCAGGAGTGTGATTGCCCTACAGTGCAATAAACGTTTTTTTTTAATTTCCTCATACTCTCAGTCTCAGTGTCTAGGGCTGTCTGTACTTCACAGTACCTTGCCTTTTCTCTGTCCTGCACTCTAGAATTCACTCAGTTCGCTGTTAAGAGAGTCATTATTTTGACATTTAAGAACACTACACTATCAGACTGATTACTATTTTGTACTAATGTGAGGGATTTAAGCACTCAAAATCTGACTCCCTTCCAAAACAATTAACTTATTAAGCACCTCATTTTAGGTGTGGAAGTGATTGTTATTCATAACAGTGATTTCCTAATTTGAAATAAAGATTATGAAGCTGTATAATCAAAGTTAATTCACAGAATCACAGGGTGGTTGAGATTGGAAGGGACCTCTAGAAGTCATGTCCCCCCCAACCTGCTCCAGCAGAGCCACGTAGAGCCAGTTGCCCTGATGGCTTTTGAGTATCTCCAAGGATGGAGCCTCCACAACCTCTCTGGGCAACCTGTGCCAGTGCTCAGTCACCCTCACAGTTAGAAAGGATTTACTGATGTTCAGAGGGAACCTCCTGAGTTTCCTCTTGTACCTCTTGTCCTCTCATTGGTCACCTCTGAAAAGAACCTGATTCTGTTTTCTCTACAGCCTCTCTTCACATATTTACATTTCTGATCCATCATTGCTGATAAATTTCCTCCTTCCATTTCAGTGCTAGTGAAGAACTCATTATCAGCAACAGGGACTGAGAAACTTACTGTAAACACATACAGAACTCTAAATATTTCTGAAATTTGTGAAATTAATGAAATCGCAAATATTATGAAGTACCAAACCAAAGTCCCTTATATTGCTAATTATTCAGCTTTCTGCATTATTCTAGGCTATGTTTTTTGAAGATCTGAAGCAACAGCTACACAGAGGGATAGCATGACACATGTTCCCGTGTTACATCTTTCTGCCTCCATGTGCTGTCTGCCCCTTCCCTAAGTTGTGTGCTGCATCACAGGGTTGTGCTGCCAGGGTGTCATGCAGGTTTTGGAGAATGGGGTTCCATTCTTCTCACCCAGAAGGCCTTTGACCCCTAAGTCAGACCTGGACCCTTCAGGGAACACCCGCTTTAGTCAGGCTGTTCTACTTGGAAAGGACCGTCACAGTCATTCATCCATAACCCTCCCTTCTGCTTGTTCTCCTCTCCCTCCTCATAACCATCCTTCCCCCTTGTCCTCCTGCCATGGCTGCCCTCTCAGTATTTCCACCTCTCCCAGTTCAGGCCCAGAGAGCGGTGTTAAACTGGCGTATGGCCAGTGCCCCTTGTTAGGGAGGGGTTTGAGCACTGGCAGTGGTAGGAAGAGAAAGGAATGCTTTGTCACCTTGGCAAACACACCTTCGTTTGTGATCCAGTGCTGAGAGCCCAGCATGCGACACCATTACCATGGTGTGAGATGGGGATGCGGTAAACTGTTGTGTTGGTGGGAGTCTGTGCATCCTGTTCTTCCTAACAATTTTCTGATTCTTCTTCCTCATATACAAGGAAGTCAAGGAGGACTATTGTCAGTTCAGAGTGCCACCCTGGAACAGCAGCTGCTACCCTCATCTGGATGTTGCCCTGACTTGGAGAGGGGTAGAGACTTGGGCAGTAGGCACCATTGTGTTGCTTGAAAATGAGAAGGAAAAAAAACAAGGCAGGAACATGAGCAAAAATGGAAATAAGGCTGGATTCTCTGTCCCTTACATATGTGGCAGTGGCTGGTGGGGTCATAGATGTGCTACTGCCATCTGTGTGAGACAAACAAAAGGATAGTGTAGTGTTCACTGGACGGGCTTGCAGAGGAGTGAGGAGTTGAATATGAAAAGTAACTGTGAGACAACTTTCTTGTGGATGGCTGTAAACCACATGAATGGTGAGAACATGCAGTCCTAAGACCAGACTAAATCCAGCGCAAAGTAAACTGCCCCCTCCAAACCACAGATAATGTGGCTGGAGGGAGCCTCAGCACCAAATAATGTGATCTGCTGCTTGATTCCTAGTGCATTGAATTACTTGGAGTAATACTTGTAGCCTCACTGGAATGAAAGGGGATTATACCTGAAGTGTACAGGCACAGAACTTTAGTACATTAGCATGTATTCAAACACTCAGAAATCTTTTGCTGCTCACGTTTGAAAGCTGAGAACTCCAATGTTTGTCCACTTCATATGCCAGTGCTGATTCTCAAACTGTGTGAAATTCTAGTTATTAAAGGGATGCCCTGTGTATGGACTGAATTGATTCTTAAGTGTTCCACAGCACTCACAAAGCTACTGCTGTGATGGATGTCACGGCTTGCAGTCTATTACAGGCTGATGTCTCTGTAATTTCTCATGTTCCGTTTCCTATTTTAATATAGCTCATTACATGCTTGCTCAATGTGCTACCTTTGTGTTGATGTATGTCTGTTTGTAAATGATATTGAAAAGAACCTGCTTGGTAGGGACCCAATTAAACTCCAGCTGACAGTAACTAAAGCACATTTGTTTAGCAAAGCTTGGCTGCCACACGTTAGCTGATTAGCAGTAGCCTTCAACATAATGCAGTTTAAGATACAACATGTAATTTTATCCTGATGCATAAGGCTATCTTATGAAGACTATTGGTAAGATTTGCTATTCTATCCCCATAATTATGAATTAATCCTGTAAACATAAAAATTTGCTTTTTACATCTCCTGTGCAGCGTATCAATAATCAAACCAAGCAATTAATGACTTACATTGACTTGATAGATATTTCAGGATTCAAGATCTGTAAATTGAGCTTAACACACAAAGCCTATAGTTTGTTTAGAGACAATTAAAAGCTGCAGCAAAGTGTCTAGCATTTGTAAATAGGCCAGCATGCTGTGCTCCTATATTAACAGAAATAACACCATAGATTCGCATTTTAGATGAAAATGCATTAAATACACTCCCAAAGAACAACATTTTGATGATACCTCTTTATAGTGGATGCTCCCAAGTTATGTATATAGATTGCCTGGGAGCAATGAAAGGAAATGTCTTATAACATCTATAATAAAACTTTATATTTAGTTTATTTGGAGAGCAAACAGGGCTCCATTAAAATTACTCAATTACTTATCATGAGTCTGACTAGAAGCTCTCAAATTAAGTGTTTAATTTCATTTGGGTTCTACCATCTTTGGCATGCTGGTCTGTTGTAAAAAACATTTCAGATCTCAGGACAAAAAGTGAATCCAAGTTAGCTTCTCATTGAAGCATAGCTTGTTTCAGGATCAGAACAGTTTTAGATCTGAATTAATCCAAAGAGTCTGTTTTAAAGAAACCCAGCACTGTACAAATTTCACAGACTGCACATCTATCAAAACAAATGATTCTTTAAGTAGTTACTAGTGAAACAGGTTTTATGTCATATACAAGTTCTTAGTGCCTAGCTGGCATCTCTAGTGGAAAGCAGAGGCTCGAGTTGCTCCCACAGACTTGCACAACAGTTAATGTTTAGCAATTAGAGTGTATTTCCAGCTCCAACTCCATTTCAGGTTCTTTAGTCTTAAAATCTTTTCTCTATATATGCAATAGAAGAGAGGGTCACTGATCTATGCAGTCAATCCACTGCTGTTGCAGTTATTGATTCATTAAATTCATTAAACTGTCTTATTAAGTACTAACATAGTATAAAACCTCAGTCTTTGGAGATTAACTATCATAAACAAACCAAATTAGAGCTGGGACTAGTGAAAAGTAGTTAAATGAATAGATCAATACTGCCTTCTATAATTGAGATTTAGAATTGGATGATAAATCAATAACATGAAATTAACCCTAAGAAGACACCTTCAGTATCTCAGCAGTAAACACATATCTAAGATATGTCTAAAGACATATGTTTTTAGCCTGATAGAGTATGTCTTCAGAATGTCAGCCTGTTGGCAAAATAAATATGGCAAGACAAGGACTAACCTCTCAGACTCACCAAAGGGAAGAGGTGAAAGACAACTTGCAGGAAAACAGTGGCAAATAGTCGAGGTGCAGGAAAAGTGGTGTTTGATGAAGGGGTGTGCCTTATTTTGTACTTTTACACAGGCTTCCTTCCTGCTCAGCTTTATTTGTAAATAGCTTTAACTGAGATGTTAAACTCTTTGCGGAAGGGACCTGCCTTCTGCATGTGTGAAGCATCTATGCTGGTTCTGGATCCTTTATGACAATGAATAATAGATATGATAATGAATAACAAATATGAATAATGAATACAAAATTTGATCAGCGAGCCTGCAAGCAAAGATTTTTCTCTTTGATCTACTGCTATAATTTATTTAATTTATAACTTATTATTGTTATCAGAAAAATCTCCTTTCTAAAATATTTTACACTTCTAAAATAAGGCCTGCCTTTTCACATAACAAATGAAGTTCAAGGAAGAAAACTGTAGCCCTGATGTATTGGTTAAGATGAAAATGAGAAACCACTTTAAGTGGCAAGCCAGAATGATTCTAATAATATCAAATTAGTTCTGATTAGCTGACAAGGAACAGAAGAAAGGCAGAATTTCTTTCTCAATATAATATTGTCTCTGAATCCTGGGGCAATACTGCCAACACTGGCCTACAGAGTGTCTTCAACAGTAAATTCAACATGATGAAAAAGATTTGTTAAATCTGATGCACATTGTTTTCAAGAATAAAAAGGAAATCCTAGCTTCGGTGTAATCCTTGACAAAAGTCATAGTGATTTACAAAAGGGCAGTATTTTGCTCGCCACTTGTTTTTCTCTTCAAGGGGCTAGCAAAACATTAACAAAGTTGCAATGTCTTAAATGTCACATGCTGTTTAATACTGACTTTAAAGCAGCTGCTCGTCCAAGTTCAGCTCTGAACAGTGAAATCTGGTCCAGTTTGTCTAGAAGAAGTTGTTCCTTAGCTTGTTTTTCATGAATTATCTGGTCTCTCTTCTCTTCCTCTGCTGCCTTCTGTGCTTCTCTGAGTAGAGCGAGGCGTTCACGTAGCTCCATTATTGACATTTCACAAATTAAACCGTGGCCACCAGTCTGGAGAACGTGAAATATAGGTTTAAATAACACTGTAAATACCAAGGGGAGAGTAAATAAGTAAAACCAGATTTTGATTGTGTTCCAAATCATGCTGAATATATTTTTACTTCAAGAAAGATAAGGCTGGCCCTAACCTAACTGTTATTTACAAGCTGGTTTTAAGGTGTAGAGCTTACCTTTCGTATGCATAAAAACACAAGGCTCATAAAACATTTCATGAAAGGCATTGAAATATACAGTAGATTAATCATACATACAATGCATTTACTGTCAAAAAAAATCTAGTTGACTTATATTTTAGTTTTAATAAGACTTTTGCAGATTTTAAATATGTACATGGCGTATTTTTTAGTTTGTAAAACCAGAACAGACTTTACACTAAAAAAGATGCATTTTTTCAGATTTATCTATTTCCAAATTTTGGATTTGATCTATGATGACACCTACTTTTTTTATCTGAAAAGACTAGGATTAAACAATGCTTTGTACCCAGGAAATTCAGATCTTAATGCTCAAAGTTAAAATATTCAAACCTGAATGTTTAATGAATGTTTTTAAAAATCCACTTCACAATGAGAGTGATAATGAGCCTGATTCTGAGATGTAATGAGAGACCTCTGTATCTTAGTTTACATATGAAGACAGATAATTTCTAAACACATTTGTGAACACTTGAAGTTTTTGGCCCTTGCTCTTACATATACTTTTCCTTTCTCCATGCCTACCCATACATACATCTGCATCGATGGAAAACTTGCATAAACCCACACAAATACTGGGCTTCTGTGTAGCTTTCTTTGCAAAATTGAATCCATTTCACACCAACTAATATTGTTCTGTCTATCTTGCCATGGTTTCAGTATGGATCTTTGGTGTGTGTCTTGTACCATGGCATGTTATAGTGGAATATATGGGTGCAGGAAGTCACGATGCTGACCTGAATCTTGCTATGCAGTTGTATCACATTAAGAGTGAAACACTGGTTAGGATTTTAATCACAAAGCCTTTGCTCTACTTAGTTCTGTAGAACTGGTGATGGGGAGGTGGGGTGTTGAAAACAAAGAACAACCACTCCTCCAAATTGTATTTCTCAGACTGAAATTAAGTGATAAACATATTTAAGTAAAACTCATTAAAATCCTTTTAATGGAGATAAATTATTCAGTTAAAGAGCCTTCATTTTTTTAAGCAATCCTTTTTAGCAGGAAAAAAAAATCCCTTGTATTGAATACTGAGTGAGTTGTTGACAGAATAGTAGCTGCCTTTCTGCTTTTGAGCTTTTCCCAAAAAAGAACTTGCAGGGGAAGGAAAAAAAAACCACAACAGGAAAAGAGAAGGATGCTCTCTCTCATAGACAGACGCTCAGATTGTCAGTTTGTCTGCAAGAATTGACCTGGGTCCAGTCCCTCCTCTCTGGTCTGGGATGCCATCTAAGCAGTCTAGCCAGGTACTTGTCCTCCAGTGATAATACCCTGCCTGTTCAGAGCAATGCATCCATGAAACAGGGAGAAAGCCAAGAAAGATAAAGAAAACAGTAAAGGGGGGGAAGGGCAATAAAAACCACAAAATAGAGTAAGAAAAAAACCCAAGCTTGACCCTCTGCTGCTACAACATTGGTGCTTAAGAGGGATTGTTATTGAGGTAGTCTGGAGAATCTAATAATACAAGCTTGTCAGTGAAGGAGAACGTGTCTTGGGTGGCCAACCCTGGGGACTCCTCCAAGATCTCCAAGAGTCTCTCCTGCAGTTTTGATCTCCATAGCTTCTCTTTCTGAAGCTTCAAAAGTTGAGTTAGTAAGAAGAGATTATCACTGTTTTTTCACCTAAAGTCTGACTCTTCAATTTTGGCTAAATGGTTCCTGCTTCCGTGCTCCTCCTGTAGCAAACATGACCTAAACATCAGTCACTATCAATAGAAGACTGACCAGAAGACTGATAAAAGAGTTCAATATTAAGCAATCTTTATTTTTGCATCTCTGAAAAATATGTACTACTATAGGTTACTGAAACAGTAAATGATAATTTATCTCCTTCTCAGATTTCAATTTAGAGTGAATTTGCAAATAGCAAGTGCTGTAATACTTTGCCTCTAATTTTAACTAGTCAGTGACCATCAAGTTGTATTCACAGGAAGTGAAAGGAAAATGTTTTGCAACAGGGCATATATACCAGTGGTAGTGTTTGAGCAAGCAGACACCAAGAAGGTCTAGGAAAAAGAATTTCCTAGAAGCACAGAGTGGTAGAGTATTTTGAGTGTGACACTGAATATTTTGAGTGTCTGCATTTCAAAAATATTCAGTGAAGACAGTGAAGTGGTTCCTAAAATATGAGAAGTCCTATAATCATGCCATAGATAATGCTGGTGTTCAAGTAACTTAAGTGACATCAAGGGAAGAACTGGGTACTTTATGAGAATGAATGAGAATTTTATGGACAAATACTTAATTTAACTAAGGCTGAAAAAGCCTTTTGTAGAAAGAAAAAAAAAGAGGGCAAGCTATCACCACAAGTGTGCTCACTCAGAGTGCTATTGTAACAGTGAGTAGAAGGGAACAGTGAAGTTGAGATACAGAATCATACAATCAGAGAACAATTTGGGTTGGTGGGACCTTAAAGATCATCCAGTTCCAACCCCCCTGCCATCAGCAGGGACCTTCCACTAGACCAGGTTGCTCAAAGCCCTGTGCAACCTGGCCTTGAACACTTCCAGGAGAGGGACATCCACAACTTCTCTGGGCAACCTGTTACAGTGTCTCACCACCCTCATTGTAAAAAATGTCTTCCTTATGTCCAATCTAAACCTACCCTCTTTCAGTTCCAAACCATTGTCCCTTGTCCTGTCACTGTCTTTCTCTGTCTTTCTTATAAGCTCCTTTATATACTGAAAGGCTACAATAATCTCCCTGGAGCCTTCTCTTTTCCAGGCTGAACAACCCCAACTCTTTCAGCCTGTCCTCATAGGAGAAATGCTCCAGCCCTTTGATCATTTTTGTGGCCTCCTCTGGACCTGCTCCAAAAGGTCCATATCTGTCTTGTCCTGGGGACCCCAGCACTGGATGCAGTATTGCAGATGGGTGTCTCACAAGAGCAGAGTAGAGGGAGAGTATCACCCCTCTTGACCTGCTGGTCATGTTTCTTTATATGTAGCTTTCTGGACTGCAGGCATGTGTGCCAGCTCATATTGAATTTTCCATCTACCAGTGTCCCCAAGTCCTCCTCTGCAGGGCTACTCTCAATCAATTAATCCTCCAGTCTGTATTGATATTGAGATTGCCCCAACTCAGGTGCAGGGCTTTGCACCTGGCCTTGCTGAACTTCATGAGGTTTACATGAGCACACTCCTCAAGCCTGTCAAGGTCCCTTTCCTCAAGTGTATCAACCACACCACCCAACTTGGTGTCAACTGCAAACTTGCTGAGGATGCACTTAATCCCACTATCTATGTCATTAGGGAAGATACTAAATAGTATTGGTCCCAGTATGGACCCTTGAGGGACATTACTGGATTCCACTTGGACATTGAGCAATTGACTGTAACTCTTTGGATGTGGCCATCCAGCCAATTCCTTCTCCATCTAACAGTCTATCCATGTCATTCAGGTCCATTCTCTTCTACGTGCAATATGACCTGTATGGCCACACCATTTCCAGCAACCTTACACTTCAGTAACCTTACACATAGAATAAGTTTGAATTTTTAGCAAATTTTTCATATATGACTTGAAACCTCCTGTGGTTTTCTGCCTTGGCTTTTGAGATGAGCTAGATGGGAAAATGTATTTAAAGCCATATTCTATGGCTATTTCAGTGGAAGCTCTATGTGAGGGGTCAGCAGCTGCTGTAAGTGGCAATGAAATGAACTAGGTTAAAAAATAAGAAAGTACTGACATTCCAGTCACCTTCATTTTCGTGCAGGAGAGCCTGCACCATTTTACAAAGTTGTTATGACTGAAAAAGTAATGACATTTCCACATCATATCATTGTGTCTTTGCAGCCTACATCTTGTGACTGAATCATCTGGGTAACAAATGTGCAGTGAGACCATGGTAAGGGCTCTGTTTGAGGTTGACACCATGTGCAACTCTATCTGAGGCAGTAAAAGATCTATAGATTGGAGTGCCTTTTGGCATTTCTCTGCAGACAATTTGCAGTATCTGTAGTGTATGATAATTCTTTGTACTCTTCACTTTTTTCCCCTGTTTTTTCCATTGTCATTCAGTAGTATTTCTCCACAAATGGGTGGAGTGAGTCTGTGTTTGGAAAAAGAGAATTGCCTTCCTTGGCTGGCAAAGAAGTGGAGAAGTGATGGCAGCAGCCATAAAAGCAACTAAAGAGAATAAAGTAGGATGGGACATCTGGGGAGCCGATTTTATTCTTGTTCAGTTATTTCACACTTTAACATTAAATGTATTCTGAAGTCTGATAAATGAGATGGGGGATTTATCTGGTGGCTGCAAAGATAGTAGGCAGCTTTGGAATCAGTGAATGGCTCAGTTCTATTCAGAGGAGCAGGATATCAAACCAAAGCATCGTACTGACTGTTCCTACAGCCCCATGGAAGCAAGATCTGTTCTTTCTGTATGGTGTCTGCATAATAGCCATGGATGTTTTTTAATTTGTGATCTTCATTTGAGTGAGTACTCATTAAAGAAATGAAAGAAAAAGACAAAGGATTAATTTAAAATTGCTAGGTTCTGTGTCATTCTTCTTTCAATATGCAGAAGAAAAATGGAAGAGTAGGTTCAGCTGGTCTGCTTCGGATTTGGTGGTAAGATAACAGATTTCCAGATGCTGACTAAGTCTGGAAATTCTGCTAAAGTGGGCATTGCAAAGCGCAGTCTCGGGCACGTCAGTTGTTGTGCATCAACAGTAAGTCCAAGAAGTCTGGGATACATTTACTGGAGACTTAACCAGACACACACAAGTCACTTGTACAGTACACGCATAACAGCTCAGCAGGTTTTGGGTTCTCTTGACAATCTCTTCCATATACCTGAATGGTGACAGTTTTGAAATCACAGGAAATTAATTTTGCTAATTATCATGGCAATCACCATTGCAATATGAACAACTGCACATCAGTCCACACGTTTTGTTCATCCAGTCCTTACCCAGGATTGACAAATCTCTGGATTTATGAAGATAGATAGAACAGGTTGTAATCAATGTCACTCTCTTTTTGAAAGATATTGGGAAACCTAAATCCTATTGGCAAAATTAAAAGAAAGTTGAGGGGACTAAGATTTCACTTACAATCAGAATATTTTTCCTGGTAAAATTTTCATTTTATAAACTGTGAAAGTTGCAGTTCATATCTAACCTTTGTTTCATGGGGTCTCTTTGTACTTATGCATCCAGACTGCAATATATCTGCATGTAGTACACGATTCCTCTGAATGTGTGAAACACACACAATATACATTTATGTAAAAACAGCAGTTTTTCCTTTTGAGCTTACCTCAGTTAAATCAACACACTTATGTCTGAGGCTTGGTAAAGACTCAATAGCTCGTATTTGTTGAATTAGTTCGTATCTTTTCCTGAGCTTCTCCTCCTCTTCTTCTAAAGCTTGCCGGAGAAGTTCTCGATTTTCTTCACAAACTTCCTGAACTGAAAGAAAAGAACTAATCTCTGTTAGCTCGCTGCATATTTTAACAAGTAGTCCATCTGCAGGAAAATGCATACACATTTGTGAATAATGATAATAACACTAATCTAAAGGTAATTGAGGGAACAGTCTGGCATTGGTGGGAGGAATGATTAGAGAAATGAGTACTTCCCACCTCCACTATCTATCATTCTATTCAACACATAAACATACTGATCATTCTATTCACCACATAAACATACTGCATGTATACATAAAGTACACTTTGAATTACTGCTTTGTAGTTTCTGTTCTAATTAGTGCGTACTGCTTCATTATTTAATAAAAGGTTATTATACAATAACAAATATTGATAGTTTTTCAAGCTATATACATGACAGAAACCATTGAATGGCAAAGGCTGGTAGGCTTTGCTAGCCTGTTTCAGAGTGGCTAACACCCTCTGCCCCCTTCAACCCTTACTGGTACAACTATGGAGATACATCAGCAGAGAAAAGTCACCAAAATAAGCACAAGCAGAGGTAGCCTGCTCATACAGTAGATGTTAACATGGCATTGCACTGGAATATATACAGCCATGTCAGTCAAAACAAACTTCTCCTCGGACTTCATTAGCTATTGCATTAACTGAATTTTCTTTGAGGATAATGGAGGATCAGTAACATTATTTCCCTTCGTCCCTAATGAACTAATTGGTCTGTCTTGGAGGTGCTACATCCTTCTCCCTTGTGATACTATCATTCTAGGAAATGGCTTTTCTTTCTTTATCTTCAGTCTTGTTGTCTGAACTATTTTCTCTGGAGAAGACAACAATGTTGAGCCATGATTCTTTCACAGTGGTTGCTAGGCAAATCCTCTGCTAATATGAATCACAAGAATCTGAACTTCATAACTTGGTTTGACAAAAAGTACAGTCATTCATTCACATATGCCACTTTGAGATGGAAGGGAAACTAGTTGCAAAACATTAGTGAATTCCCATGACCTGTAGTTTAGAATTTCTGATCTACTCATTACCAGCTTATTCCTGGAATTCATATTCATGCATTCATGGAAATGTATAGCCTGGATCTTTCCCTCCCCTTTCCTTTCTGTAAAAAATGTAATTGGCCCACTAAAATAAAGGTAAAGTAATTTGGGGACATTTGGCACCATCTCTCATTTTTCTTGCAATATATAAATACCTATCTGCTGTTTGTATTTCTGGAGCTTTATTTTTGCTTGCTTTGCATTCTTGTGTCCTTCCACAACCTGCTCCACCAGCTCTCTCATTTCTTTCTGTTCCTGGAGACGTTTCTCTGCGTACTGGTGCATCAGCTCGGCTTTCTAAATCCCAAACAAAAAAGTGAATAAAATTCCTGATAACTGGTGACCTGAGGGCCTCAAATCATTGAAACACTGCAAGGACAGATGGATTAAAAGTATTACATCATCCACAAAAGTAGAAAAGGACATTGGCTGAGGACAACATAGAGACCCAGATTTAAGCTCCCCTCTCTATGTTTTATTTACCCACAAGAGCCCTCCATAATATTTGCACTGCTATTTTCCAGGATTCTCTCCCATATGTTTCTAAAAGCAGACAGAAAAAGCCATCTCTGGATCTGGTTGTGAGAAAAAAGAAAAGTCCACTTTTGGCTGTAATGTTCTTTTCTTTGTCAGAGGAAATGAACAGGAAGCAGGAAACTGGATTTTCCCAGACTGTATTCCTTACTGTACTTTCTGTTTTAAATGGAAGACTAGAGTTTTAAAAGAAGGAGGAGGGTTAGCATGACAGCTGTGAATGGAGAATTGGTGCTCAGTACTTCTGGAGATCTCCATATGGATGAAATGCCCTGCTGGCATCTTTTGGCAAGTCAAGGGATCTGTCTGGAATTGGTCAGGTTAGAGCAAGTCTGATTTGCACATCCCCAAATCTATACATATTGGGAAATTTCTGTTAAGAAATAAAACACTTATGCTCTGAAAGTGAGGTGAATACAAAAATTACGATAATTTTGGGATGAGTGTGAGTGGTCACACTATCCTCAGTTGTACACAGTAGGGTTCACTTTAAGTTCTTGTGATAACCTGTCTAAACAGACATGAAGACTCAGTGCCAAAAAAGGTTGAAAAATTTTTTTTCAGGGACAGAGAAGGAACTCATTAAGCAAGTTTCCCTTTTGCAGCATGGTCTTTATGAAAATCTTGTACATTTGTGGTCCTATCTTAAGTTGCTGAGACACTGCAGAGACACCTGTGAGAGGTGGCCAAGAGAAAAGTACTGGCTGGCCTGTGGGGCATAGCCGCAAACTGGGCTAATAGAAAAGCCTGTGGTAGTGACTATGAAAACTTTAAAATCTATAGTATTAGTTATTTCTTGATCACTTGTTTAGTTTATAGGAAAAGGACTGGAAAAATGTAATGTGGGCTTGGGAAAAATATTAAAAGATCTAGCAATGTTTTTGGCAAACTGATTTGCCAGATTGGAAACTGTGTGAAAATACTTCTTGGCATAAATATTCAGTTTTCCATATATATATAGATCCAAAGAGGGTTCTCTGCCTGAATTTCCCCTAGAGAGATCTCTGCATGTCAGATAATATGAAGTAAATTGAATTTTATCAGTTTAAGAAAACAAATTCTTTTGTAATTGTGGCTGTCATTTTAACAAGATAATGAAATTAGTCATGTATTGGTGATTTCATTGCAAACAGTGCTTAGTGTCTCAGTATCTGTTCAAAAAGGATATGCACAATGACATGAATATAAGGGAGAATGTTTTAACCTTCTGTATTATTAAATTTACTTCATAAGTGTTATCAATCAAGTCAAACATTTGTAAAAAGTTCTTTAACGTATAAGCATTGCTGTGTCTGGAAGTTATAGCACTATTTTTCCATTGTTTGCAGAAATGTATAGAACTTTTATACCTTCTTATAGTAGGTATCATCTGTGGTATGTTTTGCCCTGATTGAATGTACGCAAAATTTGAGCAATGTTCTATATATTACCTCTTCTCTCATTAGATCAGCTTTCTTCTTATTTTCTTGAATTACATTCTGACGGGCTAGAACTGCCTCTTCATGACTCAGTTTCCCTTGAAGCCTCCTACACTCTATTTCAGCCAGCTGCTCTTCCAAATCTTTTCCACGCATCTGTTTTTGCCATTCCAAGAATTCAGATGGGTCTCCCGCCCCTTGGAGCAAATTTTCAATTCTGCAAGAGAAAAGAAAG